ATCAGGCTTCCTATCACTGAATTCACTACACAGTGAAATTAAAACATTTAATGACCATCAAATTTGATCAGTTCCTCATCAGACTTTACAAATAATCACAACAAAAATAAATTGCGAGAGAAACTCGGCAGGTCTGGCAGTAGCTTCTGTGAGAAAGCGGAGTTCACATTGTTTTTCCCCACTGCTAAACCCTGGTCCTTTAATTACATGAGTTCCTTTCAGCCTACAGCCTCCTCTTAGGTTTCATTATCACTTGTCAGCTTCTCTTCTTTCCTGGCTTAGGATCATCAATCAGTTTGTCTCCCTTCCCCTTTCACCTCTCTCTCTCTTGCGATCCGTCCCCACCCAACTGCTCATCTCTCCTTTCCCTCTTACCATCCTGTACTCAGCATAAATACCACTTTATCCTAGCTGCTATAATTTCTGATGAAGTGTCACCAATGCAACTACATCTGCCCTCAAGTACGGGAACCATAACCATTCTCAAAACTCAAGGTGCGATCTCTCTAATGCCTTGTACAGTTGCAACAATACTTGCCTATTTTTATACTCTATGCATTTTGCATTAAATGCCAAATTCCATTTGCCTTCCTTATTACCTGCAGTACCTTCATACTCATTGCCTGCAATTCATCCACAAGGACACAGAAGCACTCTGAAGTTTCTCTTCATTTAGACGATAGGTTGCCTTCATATTTCTCCATTGGAAATGAAAAACCTCACACTCATCCTCGTCATACATCATCTGACAAATTTTGGTCCATTTGCCTAACCTATCCACATAACATGTGTAAATTTCTTATCTCTTCATTGCAACTTACCTTCTCATCCAATTTACTGCCATCTGCAAATTTGCGAAGGGCACTTTCTACCCTCACATTCAGGTGATTAACAGAACACAGTAGGTAGAACAGTACAGCACAGGAACAGACCATTCAGCCTACCATGTTTGTGCTGACCATGATGCCATTCTAAACTAATCCCATCTGCCTGCACATGGTCTGTATCCCTGTATTTCCTGCCTATTCATGTGCCTGTCTAAATGGCTCTTAAACATGGAGTTAATCCAGGGTGCAAATCGTTAGGTGCCTGTCGATTGTTGGACAAACCCATCTGGTTCACAAATGTCCTTCAGGGAAGGAAACTGCCATCGTTAGCTGGTTTGGCCTACATGTGACTCCGGCCCCACAGAAATGTGACTGACTCTTGACTGTCCTCTGGGCAATTTGGCATGGGCAATAAATGCTGCCTGGTCAGCGGCACCCTCATCCGTAAGTGAATAAAACAAAAGCTCCAATTATCCTGACTCTTGGCTTTCTGTTGGTTAGCCAATGCTCTATCCTAGCTAATAAATTACCCTCAACTCCATGTGATCTTTTGTCTTAACCTTTTCTGTGGCACCTGCTCAAATGCCTTCTGGAAGTCCAATTCTACAAAATCCACAGGATCCCATTATTCACTTTTCTTGTGGCATCTTCAAAACACTCTAGCAAATTGGTCAAATATAATTTCCCCTTCATAAAACCATGCTGATTCTGATGGATTGTATTTTCACTTTCCAAATTTCCTAATATTCTTTCATCATGGATTCTAACAATTTCTCAACAATACATGTTAACCTCGCTCACTTCTAATTTCCTATTTTCTGCCACCCTCCCCTTTTGAATCACAGTATTATCTTAACACTTTTCCACCGGAACCATTCCTGCATTCAGGGGATTTTGGAATATTATAACTCACTTCCTTTAAGGCCTTGGGATGTGGGCCTTAGTCCCTGGGGGCTTGTCTGCCTTCAATCCCAACAGTTTGCTTTGCACTTTTTCCCCAGTGATGATTGTTCTAAGTTCATCATTTGCTATAACTTCTCTATTACCTGTTACTAATGTATTCTAGAACTAGGGTGGATAGTTTGAGAATTAGGACTAGACTGTTCAGGAGAGATGTAAGAAAGCACATATACACCCAAAAGATGGCAGATGTTTGGAAACCTCTTCCACATATGGCAGTGGATGCTTGTTCAGTGGTTAATTTTAAATCTGAGATAGATGCATTTTTGTTAAGCAAAGTTATTAAGGGATACGAGACAAAGACATGTATATAAATTTAGGCCACAGATCAGCTATGATCTCACTGAATAGTGGCACAGGGCTCAAGAGGCTGGATGGCCTTCTCCTGTGAGTTTGTTAATTTGCTCGCCAAGCTGGCTTGTTCTCGTTCAGATGTTTTGTCACCATGCGAGGTGACATCATCAGTGGAGCCTCCGACGAAGCGATGTTATTCTACTCCACTTGTAATTTAGACTGTTTGGGCCGTTATGGTGAGTACTGCCATTTCCAGTTTTGATCCATATGGGTTTGTGTGTGGAGTCCAATTCTATGTGTATGTTGATTGCATTACAGGTGGAGAACCATGCCTCTCGGAATTCCCATGCATGTCTATGTTTGGCTTGGGCTACTAGGGTTACCTTGTCCCAGTTAAACTGATGGTCTTCTTTGCCTGAGTGTACCGATATTAAGGAGAGTGCGTCGTGCCATTTTGCTGCTAGCTGATGTTTGTGTATTGTGACGTTTAGTTTCCTTCTTGTTTGTCTGACATGATGTTGGTGGCAGTCACTGCATGGTAGTTTGTAAACCACTTTGGTTCTGCATGTTGTGGGAATAGGGTCTTTAATCCTTGTAATTGTTTGTTGTAGAGTGGCTGTGGGCTTGCTACCATGATTCCTAGTGGTCTTAGGAGTCTTGTTGTCAGTTCCGATATGTTCTTGGTGTAGGGCAGTGTGGCCAGTGTGTTAGGTCGTACCGCGTCCTCCTCGTGTTGTCTATTTAGTAGGCACCTGCGTATGAAGTTGCGGGGATATCCATTTATAGTGAGGGTTGTATAGGTGCTCTTCCTCTTTCCTGCATAGTTCCGGGATGTTGCAGTGTGTTCCTGTTCCTATGTTACTACTGGATTGGTACAGGTGACCTCCTTGCAAACTGAGGCAAAATATTGATTTAGTGACCCTGTCATTTCAGAGATCCCCATTAACTCCCCAGCCTTATCCATCAAGGGACCAACATTCATTTTAGCTACTCTTACATAAGCTTTTGCTGTCCATTTTTATATATTGTTCTACCTTTCTTTCATAATTTACATTATGTCCCGTTATTGATCTTTAAGAGATATAGTTTGTGGTCGAAAAGGGACAATGGTATAGTGAATACAGACCTTGTTGAATGACAGGAAACAGAAAGTAATGGCATTTGGATATTTTTCAGGTGAGAGAAAGGTTTGCAGTGGAGTTCCCCAGAGGTTGGTAGTGAGAGATTTTCCTGTTATATATGTATGTACGTACTGTGAAGACAGAATTTAAACGGTTACAGATGACACAAAAGTTGAAGGAAACTGTAAACAGTGAGTAGGATAGTGTGGATATGCAAAAGAATGTTGACAAGTTGGTGGAGTGGTTGGATGCATGACAGATGACGGTCAATGTAGAGCAATGTGAAGTGACTTTGCTCAGAAGTCTAATGAATGACAAAATAAAAAAGGGACACAATTCTAAAGGGGCTGTGGGAGAAGAGGGACCTGGAAGGTATATGCATATAGCACTGAAAGTGGCAGGACAGGTGGACAGAGCAGTAACTAAAGCATGGGTTTTTTGTTTTCGCTTGTGGGATAGAGGCGTTACTGGTTGGTCCAGCATTTGTTGCCTGTCCCTGGATGCCCTTGAGAAGGTGGTGGTGAGCTGCCTTCTTGAAACAGGCTTGGGCTGTCAAATGGCAAGTAACATTGAACGACATAAATGTCAGGCAATGGCCAACACCAATAAGAGATAATAACCACTGCCCCTCCACATTCAAAGGTGTTACCATCAATAAAACACTCACTAGGGGGTTACCATTGACCAGAAACTCAATTGAACTAGCCACATAAACACAGTGGCTACAAGAGCAGGCCAGAAGCTAGGAATACTGCAGCAAGTAACTCACTTCCTGGCTCCTCAAAGCTTGCCCACATCTACAAGGCACAAGTCAGGAGTGTGATGGAATACTCCCCACTTGCCAGGATGTGTGCAGCCCCAACAATACTCAAGATGCTTGGCATCATCCAGGACAAAGCAGCCTGCTTGATTGGCACCACATCCACAAGCATCCACTCCCTCCACCACCGACACTCAGTAGCAGCAGTGTGTACTATTTACAAGATGCACTGCAGAGATTCACCAAAGATCCTGAGGGAGCAACTTCCAAACCTACAACCTTTACTGCATAGAAGCCACTGTTCCCTCTAATCATTCCTCTTGCTGTGTGGGCTTCTCAGTTCTGAGCACAACAGTGACTTCAGGAAAAGGAAGTCAAAGCGTCCACTCATTGCTTCTCATGAATTCATTCATCTCTGTCTGAAACTGTTCAAAGATTCTGCTTTCTCTGCCTTTTAAGGTAGAGAGTTCAAAGATAAACAACCCTCTTTGAGACAGAGAATATCACCTTTTCTCTATTTTAAATGGCTGACTCCTTATTTTTAAACAGTGACCTCCAGTTCTCGATGTTTTTTCATTTCCTACCCACTGATGTATACACCTGAAAATGGAGTGAGGCTCTGAAAGCTCATGTTTTCAAGTAACCTGATGGACTATAACCTGGTGTGGAATGACTTTCTGACCATATTCAGATCAGGGCCACACTTACCTGATGATGGACCACAGATTTGATCTGCACGTTGTGTTGCTCGCTCGTGTTTTCTGGGCTGGAGGCAAACTGTCACTGAAAGAGAAAAGAAGGGCGGGTCAGGAAAAGGAGAATGTGAAAGGAGGAGGAAATAACAAGTAAATTAAGAAACCTCTCTCAATTTCAAACTGAGGATCTTTCTGAGGAAATAAAGATAGTGGACAGGACAAAATATCTCAGCATAAGAGAAAAGGGAGGAGTCATGGGAATTGGGCTGTAACTGGTACCTTCTCAGTCAGGGGTCACCGTATCGTTTCACCTCAAACTGACAGAGATTTTCTCTCTCTCCAGATGAAAAAGGACGTGCTGGCAGAGACGAGATATGTCGAACTGGTGCTTGTCGTGGATCAGAATCTGGTAGGTGAAGTCTCCTCCTGCAGTAACTGGATGGTATTTTGATCTCTACGCTTCCTGATGCACATGAATAACCTTGGGAGTTTGTTACACAGGGCACATTTTCAAAGCTTAAAAAAGTTGAAGCTGTTGGCGTAACCATCAAAAGTGTGAAGTCATGGCGGTGTAATGGTCATGAGAATAGGCTGATAATACCTTATCTATTGCTCTGGGGATAGAGGTCAAAATCCCACTGCAACAGCTGGTCAACTTTAAACTCACTTCATAAACCTGGAATTGAAAGCTACTCATTAACGATGAGCATCATGAGGCTGTCAGTTAATGTCATAAAGGCCCATCTGGTCCACAAATGCCCTTCAGAGAAAGAAATCTGCCATCTACCTGCTCTGGTCTGGGCTCCCTCAAGTACAGGAATGTGGGTGACTCTTAAATGCCCTCTGAAATGGTAGAGCAAGCCACTCAGTTCAAGGAAAATGAGAGATGGGCAACAAAAGGATGATTGTGCCAGAGACACACTTGTCACATTAAATTATAAAAAATGGAAAAGTAAAAATATTGAGGTTATAATCATCTGGATAGGAGAAATAAAAATTTTCAGAGCACAAAGACAAATTTGTCTGAGGAGGAGTGAATGGAGCTAACCTCCTGTCTGAATGCAGAGTCACAGAGAAAAAGAATGAAAAAAAAAAACCCAAGGAACTCAGGATCCAAAATTTGCTGAACTCGACAATGAGACAAGGAGACTGTGAACATCGTGGTTGAGATATGGCATTGAATTGAGCTTCATTGGGACACAGTTAGGAGGCAAACACAAAAGGAGGAAGCAGGGGTGTAGAGGCAGACTCACAGACAGTGAGGGGACTTAAACAATGATAAAGTCACAAGCACAGGATATTGTGAGGCCTCGATAGAGTTGACGTGGAGAAAGTATTTCCACCAGTAAGACAGATTAGGTCCAGAAAGCACAGCCTCAGAGTGAAGGCGGTCCATTTAGAAACTGAGATTTCTTCAGCCAGAGGGTGGTTAATCTGTGGAACTCATTGCCGCAGAAGGCTGGGGAGGCCATATATTTCAGACAGAGATAGATAGGTTCATGATTGGTAAGGGGATCAAGGGTTACGGGGAGAAGGCAGGAGAAAAGGTTTGAGAAATGTATCAGCCATAACCGAATGGCGGAGCAAACCCAATGGGCTGAATGGCCTAATTCTGTTCTTATACCTGTAGTCTTATGGTCTGAGACATGAAGGAAGACTCAGTGAATATGATTGTGGACAAGGAGAGCGATTAACAGATATTTGGGAGAACATACATAGGAACATAAGAAATAGGAGCAGGAGTAGGCCATCTGGCCCATCGAGCCAGCTCCACTATTCATTAAGACCATGGCTGATCTTTTCATGGGTTCATCTTCACTTACCCACCTGTTCACCACAACCCTTAATTCCTTTACTGTTCAAAATTCTATGACTAGAATGACTAGAGTAAGATTAGGGCCAGTCAAGGACAGTAGTGGGAAGTTGTGCGTGGAGTCCAAAGAGATAGGAGAGGTGCTAAATGAATATTTTTTGTCAGTATTCACACAGGAAAAAGACAATGTTGTCGAGGAGAATACTGAGATACAGGCTATTAGACTAGACGGGATTGAGGTTCATAAGGAGGAGGTGTTAGCAATTCTGGAAGGTGTGAAAATAGATAAGTCCCCTGGGCCGGATGGGAATTATCCTAGGATTCTCTGGGATGCTAGAGAGGAGATTGCAGAGCCTATGGCTTTGATCTTTATGTCGTCATTGTCTACAGAAGACTGGAGACTAGCAAATATTGTCCCCTTGTTCAAGAAGGGGAGTAGAGACACCCCTGGTAATTATAGACCAGTGCGCCTTACTTCGGTTGTGGGTAAAGTGTTGGAAAGGATTATAAGAGATAGGATTTCTAATCATCTAGAAAGGAATAATTTGATTAGGGATAGTCAACACGGTTTTGTGAAGGGTAGGTCGTGCCTCACAAACCTTATTGAGATCTTTGAGAAGGTGACCAAACAGGTGGATGAGGGTAAAGTGGTTGATGTGGTGTACATGGATTTCAGTAAAGCGTTTGATAAGGTTCCCCATGGTAGGCTATTGCAGAAAATACAGAGGCATGGGATTGAGGGTGATTTAGCGGTTTGGATCAGAAATTGGC